ACGCCCGGTCCCTATATGGGGGCTGCAGGGGTATGGTAGAAATAATCCTATGTAAAGGCCGGGTAACTTTGGTCCTTTTTTCCATATGCCTAACAACATAGTTCTAAATCTTACAGCACTTCTACAAAGTTCCAACCAGCTCAACATAAGATCTCAGCTCAATACAAGATTTTCCTTCCACCGATACTTCCACCCCTGGTCACCTACACCAAAAGGTTCTCTCAATGTCTGAAAATTATAGAGATATTGAGGCAAGCATCAGAGATACTTGTGAGAGGTTATTCAAAGCTAATAGGCCAAATGTTGCAGCCATGTTATAGGAGTTTCAGGTGCTGGAAGCTCCCCTCAGAGTAAGGTATCATAGATGTCAATCAAAATCAGAACAACCAGTGAGCAATAAACAACTCTCCAATACTGAGGAGTTATCAGTTTGCCTCTATCTTGAATAATTGAATAGAATTAGCACCTCTACATGTATGGCAATGGTTACAAATTATGCAAATTCAATACTTCAGTGCAGGCTTAAGTAAAGACACCAATAGTCCCCCTCTAACTGTAGGACCTATGTAGACTGTGAGGTTTCTTACATGATACCCTGAATTTCATATTCAGAAACAGAAATCATTGGATCAAAATAGGAAAAAATCTCACAATCCTAATAATATCTTAAATTGGTACCAGTGTTATCAATCATTATATGATAAGAATGGCATCCAAGATTGTGACCAGTATAACTTTGACAAAACTAGTTTCCAGATTGGAATTGGTAGAGATCAGTGGATTATTACCCTAGATCCTAACCATCAATCCTATATTGTAAGTTCAAGCAATTGAGAACTTGTCACATTATGTGAGGTATTCAGTAGTGATGGTTACATTCTACTACCAATGCTGATCTTTCCTGGTGTTGTTCATATGGTGGACTAGTCTATAGAAATAGACCTTGATGATGATGTTCTTCTTGCTATTTCAGAGTCCAGCTATTCAAATAATGTTCTCTTGCTGGATTAGCTTCATCACTTCAAAAGAATCTCCTCATATCGGCATGTTAGGGTCTATCGTCTACTCCTTCTTGATAGACATGGTTCACATTGCCTTCATGATTTCATTGAGTTCTGTGATGAGCATAAGATTATTCCATTCTGTCTGCTACCCCATATTATACACCTCTTGCAGCCTCTTGATGTAGTAGTTTTCTAGCCATAAAACTACTATCATGCAGAGGCTATCGACCAAGCAACATAGATAGGTTGCTCTGATTTTAATAAAGTAGAGTTTCTATCAGTAATTATATCTATTCATCAGTAACCCTTTAAGAAGTCTACAATCCTTTCAGCATTCTGCAAAACTGGTCTTATTCCCTATGCTCCTAGCATAGTTCTTGATTGTTTTCAAGAGTATACAGAAATATGAGAGTTGATCCTCACCACCACCCCCAACTTGACTGAAGACCAAACTTTATCGACTCCTTGGATGGTATGATCATGGAAGAGACATGTAGACTTTCTTTGGGAAATAGATATAGCAATCTCACCAAGCTTCAAACACTCACTTAATATATTTATAAAAGGTAGTATTGCCTAGGCTCATATAGTGGCATAAGACAACCTCAGGTACACATAGGTGGTAGAACTTACACATGTAAATCAATAAAGAAAGTCTTGACAATTTGTTCAAAAGAGCAGGGTACTATATGCGAGCAATACTAGAGTAATTGTTCATAAGAGGGAGGAGGAGGATGCCATTAGGAAAGTAGAACAGGTTCAACAACAAGTAGAAAGGTTGCAAAAAGAGGCTATTCAGAACTAGAAGACATAGTAGAAACCATTTCACAGAGAACTTAAATAGTTTATTAAGAGGCAGGATACTAGAGTTAGTCAATTGCAAAAGTGTTCTGTGGTAGGAAAGTAGGATTTTGGTATATCTAATAGCAATCCTCTAGTGGAATCATTTCCTAACCATTGAGCTATAGCTAGAACATCCAGTATATTTGCTTCAAATAACTTTACACAAGTATCTTTAATGTTAGCCTCAATATCTATATAATAATTGGACATAGAGTGAACCTTTTGGTGTGGGTGACTGGGGGTGAAGTGTTTGTGGAGGGAAAATCTTGTGTTAAGCTGAGATCTTATGTTGAGCTGGTTGGCACTTCATAGAAGTGCTGCAAGATTTGGAACTGCGTGCAGTTACATAATCGGCAGGAACCTTGGCACGGTTATAAAAGAATTGGATAACAACTGATATATTACTCAGAAAGAAATAGTTGTTAAATTGTTTTGTTGTTGATGAGGCTTCTGTTGTTATTTGGTCTAGTTGCCGTGTCTTCGGTAAATGACCCTATTATATACCACCAGCTAGCTGACATCTTGGCAACCCTAAAGGAGAAAGGTCTGGCCAACTTCACCCAACGTCACTCAATTTCTTTTTTATTGTCAAACCCATGCTTTCCACTCCTTTTTTTTTTTCTCCTTTTTTTTTACACTTTTCACATTTTCTCCTTTCCCTAATTCTTCTTTTCCATTTTATTTGGCACACCTATGGTTTATCCGACACACCTCGTCCAATTGCCTTACCGTAAAGAGTTGTTGCTGAGGAGCCTTAGCAGTTTGAAGTTGGCCATTTTTAACGGGTCGGAAGTGCTCAGGTTAAAGGTTTCCCCCCACCATGAGAGTTTTGATAACCTTGTGGCACTTCCTGTCTCACTGCCCATGTCTAACATTAGGCCCTGCCTCTTCTCTTTTTTTTTTTTCCCCCTACAAACATAGACTACCGCAGACTCGAGCCACACCCGGATATCCTCGGGCTCACGGCAAATGTGCCAAACACTAACCCTGCCCCACGCAGGTCAACAACCCCACCCCCAGACGACCAAACCCCGAATATACATCTCCCCACCACGCTGGCTCCCCCGGCCCCGAGTTTCCAATCTCGATACTCAGAATACCCTTCTTCACCTTTCGCTTTAGATATAGCCCGCGCATTACAAAAACATCGCAATGGTAACTAGACCTCTCACCCGGATGACAAGAAGCAATCACACGAATATTTATTCCGTGCTGGTGGTTTGCGTAAACAGCACACAAGACACCCCACCCCCTCTCTCTTTAAGTCACGGGTAAGTCTGCCTCTTCACCTCAGCTTAGACTATACCCCGCCACGCAAAATCAAAAACACCACATGTCACCCCATCACATCCCCTCACTCGGATTCCTCCTTCTCCTTCTTCTTCCTTTTCCTAAACCTCCACAATTTTGAAAACACGATAAGCTCGGGTACGGGGCTTTTCGGCCACCATTGTAACCTCGACCAACCATAAAAATATTTTTAATTTACAGCACCCCATTCAAACATAGATTCCCCCCCATTTGTGCCCTTTGCAAAATTTTTAGATGTTCTTAATGCTTCCTCCTTTCTCTCAGGAGGGTTATTTAGCTTTTAGCCTGTGCCTCTTTTTTTTTTTTCTGCAATTCTTGCCTTCTCCTCCGTAGCCACTACCCTTGCCCGTTCGACCTCCTCAGCTGACCATTTAATAGCTTCAACATTCGCAAACACTGTATTGGGACCCAAGACGACTTTCTTCTTCTTCTTCTTCTTGCCCTGTAACTCCGCTACGCGTAAGTGAAGTCGCCTGTTGGCAGGCGGTAGCCCATATATCTCCTTGCTGCGTATTGTGTGACATGCGCGAATAGTACCAAATCGTTTCATAGAAATCATGAATATGGTGCGGCTGGGTAACCCCGTATACGTGTGGATTTCAATTGGTTTTACCAATTATACCAGTAATTTGAGGATTCCGCTTTCATAAAAAAGTAGGAACCCCATTTTCCTCCCCCAGAGGTTCGGTGTCTTTCAGCGATTGATAAAGATAAAACTGGTCATCTTTCTTGTTTGTGAGTGTGAAGGAGCAATAGTCACATGCCCTCTTGCTCAAGAATCCAATTGCATGGAGTTTGTTTCTTGCTGGAAAGGTAGATGTTATTGGTGAATGTGTCCGATATGCGCCTTTGGATTGACCTGCCCGGTAACTCTGCAGGGTTGTGTGAGATATTCCTTATTCTTTCACAGCTTTTCTTTTCTGAAATGCCATTTTCAATAGCATTTAATGCTAAACTAATCATTTACTCACGCATATTCATGCTGCGATGGTGGCTGGATGTAGATAGGGGGTTTGGTGCTCGGTGGTGGTTGTCTCAGTGGCCGAAAACTAGGGGGGGCCGAAAACCCCATACTCGAGCTTACAATACGATGACAAAAACCCGAAACTGAACTACTTTAATTACCCCTGTTCATTACACATATATACACCCCCCCCCGGGTCCGTCCCTCTTCCCCTTCCCCCCAGCCAGCTAGCTGACTAGCCCCTCAACCATATACAAATAAGTTACACAGAACCAATATAAATAAATGAATAAAATAAATACTCACTCAGTAACCGTTTTTTACTCTCACTCAAGACGCAGTCCTGGAGAGGCAAGACAACAAATAAGAAATAAGAAATGAGAAAAGAAGACAGAACCGGAACGCCACCGGATTATATAGCGAGATGGAATGGGTGGAAATGTGATGAAGGAGGAAGTAAGGTGAAAATGCAAAAAAAAAAAAAAAGATTTATAGATCATCAGGACGCTAATGAGAAGGAAAATGAAAAAAGTAGGAAAAGGAGGAAGGGAGGAGGTGGGGGGGAGGTTGTGTGCGTCTATACCACCTACCAGCCCTCCCACCGGCCCGCCTATCAAGCAAAGCAACAAACAGATAGACAAACAAGCAGACAACCGGCTCCGCTATGAAAAGACAGATAAAAATCTTCTACCAACCAACCAGAACACACAGCAAAGCCAAAAAGAAGCAGGAATAAACCACCCCATCATAAACCAAACCCCAACATTACTCATCATCAACCCCAACCCCGCAAAACTCCACAATCAACCTCTCCAAATCCACAATCTTATACGGCTTCGACATAAACCCCTTCATGCCGACGCTCGAAGTCTTGACCATAGCGGCCTGCGTTGCATCCGCCGACACGGCCAACACCGTAACCGCATTCCCCCCAGCTCTGGCGCCCCCCCGATCCCGTGACTCTAAAATATGCTTCGTAGCTTCGTACCCGTCCATCCGCGGCATCCACAGATCCATGAGCACGACGTCGATCGGGGGGTGTCGAGGGAGGGACATGATCTCTACGGCTTCCTGCCCGTCGCAGGCTTCGAAGATGTCGGTGTAGCCGAGCCGGCGGAGCATGCTTATTAGGAGCTTGCGGTTGATCTTGTTGTCTTCGGCGACGAGAATTGAGAGGGGGATTTTTGCCGCGAGGGTTTTGTCGTAGGGGAGTTTGGGAGGTGGGCGGCGGCGGTGGTGGTGGTGATGGGGTGTTGGCGTTGTCGTTGTTGTCGTTGTTGCGGTTGTTGCCGGAGAGGTTGTTAGGTCGATGGGCCGTGGATTGTGTGGGGAGTGTGGGGTTGTGGATAAAGACGTGGAAGAGTCAGATGTAGGGGGTAATAAAGGCTGTGATGGTGGTGGTGGCGGCGAGGGGAAGCGCTCATCATGTAGTGATGAGAGGTTAGTGAACGGGCTTCGATGGGAGGTATCCAATGACCAGTTCGGTAATG